CCTCCTCCTCCTCCTCCTCCTCCTCCCCCTCCTCTCTCCCCCTCCTGCTCCTCTCCTCCCCCTCCTCCTCCTCCTCCTCCTCCTCCTCCTCCTCCTCCTCCTCCTCCTCCTCCTCCTGCTCCTCCACCTCCTCCCCCTCCTGCTCCTCCTCCTCCTCCTCCTCCTCCTCCTTTTCCTCCTCCTCATCCTCTAGGGGGCTCTTTCACGCGACCCCCGAGGGGCGGCCCCGCCGACGACGCGCTGGCCCGGCGGCTCTTGCGCGTGCGCGAGGCGGCGCAGAACCCCGCGCGGGCCACGCTCGCCGAGGCGGCGTCTGCCGACGACTCCGCCACGGCGCGGGAGCAGGAGGAGGAGGAGGATGAGGAGGACCGTCGCTAGTGATACAGTCAAAGTCCATGGTGAGTATGCCAGGTGAGGATGCGAGAGCCTTGGAATTCCCATGGACCACTTGGAGCTCCTTGGACGCGATCGTTGGCTCAGGAGGGGCCGAAGAGGCAGGGGTGCAAGGGTAGCTTTGATGAAGAAGCGCATCCTTACTGTGCATTTTGCTGTAGCAGGGACGCTAACTACCCAAACAGTTGCCACAGCGCGTTGCTGGTGGGGGCGAAGGCGGAAACCGCTGGCCGACGTGCGACAGACCCAGACGCCCATCTTCACGAACAAAACAAGACGGCCAAATTTTCCTGAGTCAGGACATCCAGGGGCCCCCGCATCGGGCCCCGGGAACCGCCAAAAACGACTCGGGATGAAAGGCCAGTCCGCAGGGAGGGGTCGGGAGGTCGGGCAGCCCGCATCAGGCAAGGCCCGGCATCGGAGGCCCGTGGAGGTGTTCCTGGCCCGAGGCGCCTCCAGCTCCTCGCACCATTCTGAAGACCCTGCTGTCTGGGCCTCCCTCGATGGGCTTGGGTTCTTTTCGTTATTTCAAAACTCTGGGAGGCCAAAGAAGGCCTGCGTACGTCAGACGGGCGTGTGGGGTCGCTGGGCGTGTTTAAGATGTGCGCGCTGGCATCGCAAGTCCATGTGCATTTGTGTATGTAAATATAAACATATGTATATGTGTGTGAACGTATATACATGTGTATATATGTGCATGTAAGTAAGTACGTAAGTAAGTAAGTGTGTATGTATGTATGCATGTACGTACGTACGTATGTATGCATGTACGTATGTACGTATGTACGTATGTACGTACGTACGGACGTACGTATGTAAGTATGTACGTGTGTATGTATGTACAAATGAATGAGTGTATGCATGTATGTATGTGCATGCCAAACAACGATGGTAGGTACGCATGATAAGTGTACATGCATGCATACATACATGCATGCGTGCAGAAAGGTGTGAGTGTATGGTTGTACGGATGTGCTGTTTGTATGCACGTGTGTATGTAAATCTAAAGATATGTGTGAACATACATAGACGCATGTATGACTTGTCTAATGTGTGTGTACATGGATGTGTGCATGTAATTGAGTATGTATGTATGTGAGCTTACATGAAATGACGACTGGAGGCATATATGTACGTGCATATATTGTTCAAACAACTATTAGTTCCACGCATGTACATGTATAGGTACCAATAGTTCTGAGCGTGCCTCAACGGACTTAGAGTGGCCGTTTGGGGTATGGTCGTTTGGGGCCTGTCTCAACAAAATTAGAATGATGGTATCGATTGCAAAACAGAGGGGCCCCAAGGATCGGCAACCTTGGGCCGGGGCCACCTTTGGCAGCAACCGATCGGGGGAGGCATGGTGGGGTCCTCCGATGAATTTGGAAAGCGCTCGGATGATCTCGGGAGGTCCTCAGTGGGCCCAGATGGCATCGGGGCGTCTGGGGTGAAGGCTTCGGGAAGCCTAGGGAGATGCGCACCACGGATACGATGGAAAGCCCCAGAAAGCTATTCGGGGCAATTGCAGAAAGCCCGATGCCGCTTCCCGATGATGTGCTGGAAGATGTTCGGCGATTCTCTTTCGTGGCGCAATCTCCCCCGGGTAGACCATCCCCCCGCGTCGCGCAACGCGAGGTGCAGCTTGCGGCTGTCTTCACGGTCTCGCGCCGCCCCAGCGGAGAATGACGGATCTCTTGACCCAGGCCGCGAGGCGCGCAGCGCAGTTATCTTCGCACCCTTGCTGGTTACCTGCCCCCGTCCAGTGCTTCACATTCTGGTGGGCAGTCGTGGAGAACAGAAAATCCACTCTCATAATAATAACCCTGACACGCGAAGCCGTTCAGTAAACGCACCCAGAGAAGGAATCGAGCAGGGCAGGGCTGTTCAGTTACGCCCAGGGCCGTTTAGCAAACGCCAAATATCGGGTCTGGGTGATTTTGCCTCCCTTGAAGTCGAGGGTTTTGGAAGGCTGCCTGAAAGCACAAGGGCAGCCCGAGGCGACAGCCCTAGGCTCGAGAGGAGGGCCCGCCTGGCATCTCGTCATCCTCCTGCTCCACCCCATCCTTCTCATCATAGCATCATTCGTCATAGTCGTCATCAGGGCCTTCGCCATCGTCATCACCACCAGCATCCTCATCACCACCACCGCCTCCACCACCACCACCATCGTCATTATCCTCATCGTCATCATCATCAACATAATCATCCTCATTATCATCACCATCATAATCATCATCATCATCGTCATCATCATCATCATCATCATCATCATCAGCATCATCATCATCATCAGCATCATCATCAGCAGCAGCAGCATCGTCATCATCACCACAATCAGCATCATCATGATCATCACCATCATCATCAGCATCATCATCATCATCATCAACAGCATCATCATCAGCAGCATCATCAACATCTTCATCATCAGCAGCAGCATCATCAGCAGCACCATCATCCTCATTATCCTCATCCTCATCCTGATCCTCATCCTCCTCATCATCGTCATCATCAGCAGCATACTTCTCGTCCTCTCTCCGCCCCCCGACTCCATCACTCTATGGAAAAACCTCCACTGCCCCACCACGTGCAGTGCGCACGTGCGTCCAACGCCAACTCATTGCATCCAGCATGGATTCGGCATCGAACCAGGAGGGAGGGGGACAGGGGAGAGTGGAGGAAAAAGAGGAGGGGGCAGCGAGGCGGGAGGTGGGAGGGAGGAGGGAGGCAAAGAGGAGGGGGAAAGAGAGGGAGGGAGAAGGTAGGAGGCAGAAGGGAGGAGAGAGAGGAACGAGGAGAGAGAGGACCGAGGAGCGACGAGGGAGGAGCGAGGAGCGAGGAGGGTGGAGCGAGGAGGCAGGAGGGCTGGAGGAGGGCAGGAGGAAAGAGGATGGAGGAGGGAGAAGAGATCAGGAAGGAGGGAGGGGGAAAGGGGAGAAGGAAGGAAGGAGGAAGAAGGAGCGTCGACCCAGAAAATGTGAGGATCAGAAGGTGCTGCCATTGTTCCACAATTGGGATCTGCCGAAGGGGGTCATTACGGTCGTTGGTAACCCCGTGCCGCGCAGTGCGAATCACGCACCATGACATGCCGCTCTCTGCCATGATGTGCCGCGCACTGACAGGAGGAGCTGCCCTGCTTGCTGCTCCTGGGAGCGGGCGGCATCCTGGCCAGGGCTGCACCAGGATCCTCAGACAAACAAGACCAAGGAGTGGAGCAGGCCCCCACCCACTCTCCGGGACAGGCAGCCCCCACCCCGCCGCGCCGGACCTGCTGCCCGAGATCCCCCGCGGGCAGCACGGAGAGCTGGCTCCCGCGCGCACACCTCTCAACACCTTCTTGGCGCGCACGCCCCAGCGCAAGCCTGGCCATAGGGGAACAAAAAGTGGCATAAACCTAACAACTCGGAGGTCCGCGCGGATTTCTCCGATCGGCGCTGGGGCCCCCCGGCGGCGCCTCCGGCGCCGCCCCGGGCACGCGGAGCGCGCCAGGGAGGGGGGTCCAGCGCCGATCCGAGAAATCCGCGCGGACCCCCGAGTTTTTATGTTTGTGTGACTTTTTGTTCCCCCATCCTGGCCGCCCTCGCGTCGGCGATGCCGCGATGCGATCCGCTCGCCCGCTTCTGCAACAGAGGCGAACGCTACCTGTGCGGCTCGGTCATTGGATGAGCCATCGTCGGACACGGAACGACAAGGCCTCGCGACCGATGCACGCAAATCCATCGTGGAGGGGAGACCGTGGGCCGCCTCTCCTCGGATCTCGTGACAAGGCCTCCAGGGCCCAGGTTCTGTAGCAATGAGGTGCGCCGAAAAGCTCACTCGGCTATGCGCAGGAGTAGCCCTAGGCGAGAGTGAAATGTGGTGCATCGTCGTACGCGATGCGATGCGACAGCAGCGGACTGCGTACTTGGATTGGCCCCCCACGTCCTCAAGCAAAAGCCGCGCACGAAAGGGCATCCCAGCACAGAGTCACCTGAAGAAAGGTAATCCGCACGAAAGGTCATCCCTTACGCGTAGCCGACCCATGAAGACGTCCAACCTGGCTCCGTGGTTTCATCTCAGACGTCTGGGGTCGAGCTGGCACGTCTCTTTCTTCAGGGCAGCGCACAAAAGATCGTTTTAGATGTTTGGGCGATAACCCAAGCTATCCAGTGGAGGGGAGGGAAGGGGAGGGGGAGTAGTTCGCCGATAACCTAGCCTTGTTCGTGCTGGGCAGCCCCGTGCATGCCCGCGCACACCAGTGCCGCGTGACCCCTTCGGACGAGCGCAACCGACAAGGTCAAGCTATCCGGGGGGGGGGAAGGGGAGGCGCGCGGGCCAGACTACCTGGGCCATCCGGCAGGGGGAAACAATTAGTGGACACTCCCCCGCTCCCCCAAACTCAAAGTTGACACGCGCGAGGGAGACTGCGGTCGAAGTGGAACTCATCAGGCCCACTGCCAACTCTGAACACTGGGGGGAGGGGGAGGCGCTGACCGAGGAATGTGGCATGCGTGTCCGCCATGTTTCTCTTCAAGGCCTGCCGCGAGTGCCTTCGAAAAAGTCTCCAACCGCCACCTCTGGGCCCCTTGTTCCCTCCCTCCCGGGGCAGCCAGCCCCCCCCATGGCGCCTCCAGCGACGCGCGCCCCGAGGCGAGCTCCTCGCACACGGCTCCTCCGCGCAGCTTGGGAGGCGGCGGGGGTGCGCCCCCCCCCCCCCTGCGCGCCCGCGCCACGCAGTGCCGCGGCCGCCAGAAATCACTCGCCAGGCCTGGAGGCAGTGGGCTGCCGGTGGGGTGGGGGCAGAGGACGGCGACTGCGGTCTGGCTCTCTGCGTCCTGCTCTCGACCCTCTGCCCTCGATACTGCGCCCTCGCTCCCGTGCACCCTGCCCCAATCTACGGCTGAGGTCCACCCTCCGCCCTCGACCCTCCACTCTGATGCTCTCTCGCTCCCTCCCTCTCTGTCTCTCTCTCTCTCTCTTGTTCTATCTCTCTCTCTCTCCCTCTCTTTCTCTCCCACTTTCTCTCTCTCTCTCTCTCTCTCTCTCTCTCTGTCTATGTACACATAAGTATGCCTTGTTATATCTCTCTCTCTCTCTCTCCCTCCCTACTTTATGCTCCCTGCTCTCTGCTTGCTACACTCTGCAATCTGCGCTCCGAGCTCTGCCACGTGGCCTTCACTCCTGAGTATCTACTGTTCTCCCCCACTGCATGCAATATCCACTTCCTCCTCCTCCTCCTCCTCCTCCTCCTCCTCCTCCTCCTCCTCCTCCTCCTCCTCCTCCTCCTCCTCCTCCTCCCTCTCCTACATATGGTAGCGGCGGTGAAAAATGGGCCCGTCCTCACCCGCGCCTACGGGCACAAAGGGGAGCCGGGATGGGCCGAACACCAGCACGCGTCGGTCGGAAGAAGTGGGTGACAACATGAGGTAGGAAGGAGGATCTATCAAGTAGATTGAGTTCAGGTCCTCCCAGAGAAGAGCTCAAAACTTAGCAGAAGCAGATCGGTTCTTGAAGGAGGAAGGCGCTCAAAGTAGAGTGGGATCTGCGAATCCAGGAATACCTACTTTCAACGACCGGCGTGTAGATCCGCCGCTCCCTGTGCTTGCCACAGGTGTGCGCGGCGTGCTGAACTTTCGATAGTTGTCTTGCTTTTTAGTGAAAGCTCCCGCGGGCCTTCGGCCTGATGCGCTGGTCACCCAGAAAGTTCGTTCTCCATTGGCCTCGGCACCCAATAAGGACCCATAAACTTCCCTGGTCGTCGGTCTTCCCGCTCCCAGGCGGCGAAGATGGCTGGAGATGGCTTCCAAGATGCCTCCAAGACGTCTAGGTGGCCCCAACCGGGCCCAAGATGGCCGCCAGCTGTCTCCACGACAGCCCAAGATGCACTCAAGATGGCCCAAGATGGCCTCAAGGTAGCCCAAGACGGCCCGAGAGGCCGGCAAGAGGCCTCCAAGAGAACCTCCAGGAAAGCCCGCTATTCCTCCTCCTCCTCCTCCTCCTCCTCCTCCTTCTCCTCCTCCTCCTCCTCTTCCTCCTCCTCTTCTTTCTACAGCGGTTGTCCCCCGAAGCGTTTCCACAACGGCTGGTGGAACACATGATCCGATAGCTTGGCCGAGCTCTGGCTACAACGTTCGGCCATTTAGGCACTGCCTAAAGGCAGGAGGCGGCGGTGATTCGCCCTAGGCGTCTTCAATAGTGCTGGACATTACCACCATCTTCGCCGTAGACGTCGCAATCGCCATCATAGCGACCACGGGCATGCACACTGAGGGCAACGGTCCTGCGCGCGCACCGAAGGCCTCGTCCCCCCGCGCCGCAGCAGCGGCGGCCACCGTGCCAACCTTGGCCGCCTCCGCGCAAGCCGTGGCCACTGCAGCCTCGACCAGGTCGAGCGCTCGACACACCTCCTTTAGAGGAACACAAAAATGCATAAGCATGATTTCCTGGAGCTCCTCGCGCGGATGTCTTGGATCGGTGCTGGATCCCCCCACCCCTGGCACGCGGAGCGCGCCCGGGGCGGCGCCGGAGGCGCGGCCGGGGGACCCGGGCGCCGATTTGAGAGAAATCCGATCTGAGCTCTGGGAAAGTTCATGCCTGTGCCGATTTATCTTCTTCGGGGGACACGGGCGCCGATGTGAGAAATCAGGTCGGAGCTCCCAGAAAGTTCATGCCTGTGCCGACGACAACGATAACAACGATCACAACGATGACAACGATAACAACGATAAAAACGATAACGATCACAACGACAACAACGACAACGATAGCAAAGATCATAACGATAACCACGATGAGAACGATAACAACGATCACAACGATAACGACGATAACAACGACAACAACGATAACGACAACGACGGTAAACAACGATCAATGCTGCTTCTCTCCTGCTGCACCCCGTGCCTGTGCAGTGTTTCCCTCCCCGGCTCCCGGTGGTCGGCCTCCGCGGCCCCCTGGGCGTCGGCCGAGGCCCGGCCGAGCAGCTCCCGCAGCCTCCCCGGGGAGTCTCGAGCGACGACGATTGACCAGGCTGTGGTGCGGCCGGCCCGAGGTACACGATCGAGGCCTCCTCCTCCCCCCCCTCCTTCCTCTCCTCCTCCTCCTCCTCCTCCTCCTCCTCCTCCTCCTCCTCCTCCTCCTCCTCCTTCTCGTCATCCTCCTCCTCCCCTCCTCCTCCTCCTCCTCCTCCTCGTCCTCCTCCTCCTCCTCCTCCCCCTCCTCCTCCTCCTCCTCCCTCCTCCTCCTCCTCCTCGTCCTCCTCCTCTCCTCCCTCATTCTCTTCCATCCTCTTCATTGTGAACAGCTCCTCCCTGTGATCGAGGAGGAGGAGGAGGAGGGGAGGAAACGAGGAGGAGGGGAGGAGGAGGAGGAGGAGGAGGGAGGAGAAGGAGGAGGAGGAGGACGAGGAGAGGAGGAGGAGGAGGAGGAGGAGGGGAGGGGGAGGTGGAGGAGGAGGAGGGGAGGGAGAGGGGGAGGGGGAGGGGAGGGCGCCCTGCTGTTATAGAGCACACGCGGAGAGGACACGAGGCCCTTCCGAGGGCCACGCTGCCCCAGGACTGCAGAGGCCGTGGGACGCGAAGCACGGGACTCGAGGGCACCCTTGATCTGGAAGGATCGACCTACTAATCAAATTCGACTGCATCTCCTAGATGGGGTCCGAGTAGATGGGCTCGGAGGATCGCGCCGCATCGCCAATGCATCGACGATGCATCGGCGATGTATCGGCGACGTCGGCGGCGTATCGGCGGCGTCGGCGTGGAGAAAAACGGGCTCCACATCGAGCCGCATCGGCGATGCATCGGCGATGCGGCGCGATCCTCCGACCCCATCTGCTCCGACCCCATCTGGGAGGCCCAGACAAGGGCACCCTTGATCTGGAAGGGCCGACCCACTGCACAAATTCGACCGCATCCCCCCCCCCCTTCTGTCCGACCCGCAGCCTGCCGCCGCCCGCCCGCGCGGTGCCCAGGGCCTCCGCCAGCAGGCGGCGCTGCTGCTGCACCACGTCGCCCGCCGCCTGGTCTGCAGCAGCGCGCCGCCGCCGCCGCCGCCGCGGGGAGCGCGCCGACGACGACGCCGACGGCCGCTGCGATCGTCGCCACCGTCGGCGTTTTCGCCCAGTTTCGGGCCCCGGGGGCCCTCCGCGGGTCGACCTGGCTCGGGAGAGTGCCGCAGAAGGCTGGGGTCCGGGGTGCTGGTCCTGACTTGTCGCGATGTTGAAATCTCTGCTCGCGGCATCGGATCTCGGGGGTGGTCGACGTTGCCGTCGTGGTCATCGGCGTCGACGTCGACGACGTCGTCGTCGCTGTCGTTGTCGACGCCGACGCAGAGGGAGGGGGGTCTGCACTCGTGGGGGAGGGCCAGCTGCGACATCGGCGGCCCTCTTCTCCTCCCCTCCTCCTCCTCCTCCTCCCTCCTCCGCCTCCTCCTCCTCCTCCTCCTCCTCCTCCTCCTCCTCCTCCTCCTCCTCCTCCTCCCTCCTCCTCCTCTCTCCTCCTCCTCCCTCCTCCTCCTCCCTCCTCCTCCTCCTCCCCCTCCTCCTCCTCCTCCTCCTCCTCCTCCTCATCCTCCTCCTCCTCCTCCTCCTCCTCCTCCTCCTCCTCCTCCTCCTCCTCCTCCTCCTCCTCCTTTTCCTTCTCATCCTCCTCCATCCCTCTTCCTTGTGAACAGCTCCTCCCTGTCGAACCACCAGACGTGTCGGTAAGCCAGGCTTGGCATTTTGCTTGAGACTTCCTCGGAACTTACCATCCCGAAGCTTGAATGTTCCCACAGCTACGCGGATAGAGGGCGGTACCTTTCAAAATGTGGTTCTCACCTCAGCGCCGAGCACATCCGTCTTCAACGGTTCAAGAAGTTACACGGCCGGAGGCTGGTATGTTCTAGAAATGGGACTCACGCCTGAGGCTTCATCAAAACATAATGCCACGAACTGTGAGCAACAGTCTCACTGAAGGAGGCTGCTTCCTTTTGCGTAAGAGCTCCCGCCTGATACTGCATCAGGTCTTTCGACCAACAGCTCACAAGTGTGCAACAGCCACGCGGACGAGGGGCGGTTCCTTGCCAAAGCGAAGCTGACGCTGGGCACTAAAGACCATCTTGTCACGCTCCTGACAATTCGAAGGATGGAGCGCAATTTATTTAGAAACGGAGCTGTCGCTAGACAAGCGCGTTCCACTACTCGCACAGTAACTACTCGCAAATGGCCTGGATCCGCCGCGGGGGATCTACAATAAATTACATCAAAGTAGACAATTTATTTGTTCGGACGTTTGCGAGTAGGCACTTTGCGAGTAGTGGAACGCGCTCGGTGAGTCGCTGGGCACTCGAAGAACGCAGAGTGGTGTCTTTCAGCACGGAGCTCCCGCCCGAGAATTGCCGGCCCCTGGGGTGCTCGCCTTTCCAACGGTGGGCGCTTCGCGCAGGGAAAGAAGAAACACTCGCGCCCCAGGACTGGAGAGGAGGGGATTCGGGACGGAAGCGTGTCTTGTAGCGTCGTGGATGCACCTCGGGTCTCCTCTGGTACTCGCACGCTGGTCCTCCTCCTCCTCCTCCTCCTCCTCCGCCTCCTCCTCCTCCTCCTCCTCCTCCTCCTCCTCCTCCTCCTCCTCCTCCTCCCCCAGGTCTTCCTTGAAAGCAACTCCTCACTGTCGGTCACGCGTGTTGCAGGGCGGGCCAGGCGTTCCACGTGAGAGCTCCTCACAAAGCTTGAGGAGGAGAAGGGGGAGGAGGGGAAGGAGGAGGAGGAGGAAGATGAGGAGGAGGAGGAGGAGAAGCAGGAGGAGGAGGAGGAGCAGGAGCATGAGGCTGGCCAGGCGGGCCATGCTCGTCAAGCTTGAGGTCTGCAGCTGGTTCAAGGATGGAGGGCGGATCGTCTTTGGAATGTGGCTTTCGCCTCGGGGCCTCCAGGCCTCGGAAATTACCCTGTGACGTACCCAACCCATTTGTATCATGGGAAACGAGGAGTTGACCGAAACTTGCATGGACAATCAAATTGCAGGATCCGTTGTTTGATATGTAAGCTACTTGGGACACGCGCCTATGGCATGATGCGCAGGAGAACCATACAAGAAAGAAGGGCAACAGCTACAGGCTCGAAGAGGACATGGGGAGACGGGAGCGAAGAGCAGGAGAAAGACGTGCGGGAAGCCCACTGTGCTGGGCCCCTCAGCAGCCCTCGAAAGTGGCGACAGTTTCACAGATCGCAGCCCCCCAGGGATGGCGAGGTCCCATTTGAGTCTGCGGTGAGTACCCACTGTGCTGGGCCCCTCAGCAGCTCTCGAAAGCGGCGACAGTTTCACAGATCGCAGCCCCCAGGGATGGCGAGGTCCCATTTGAGTCTGCGGTGAGTACCCACTGTGTTGGGCCCCTCAGCAGCCCTCGAAAGTGGCGACAGTTTCACAGATCGCAGCCCCCCAGGGATGGCGAGGTACCATTTGAATCTGCGGTGAGTACCCACTGTGCTGGGCCCCTCAGCAGCCCTCGAAAGTGGCGACAGTTTCACAGATCGCAGCCCCCAGCAGCCTTTGAATCCGCCGTGAGTACCCACTGTGCTGGCCCCCCCAGCAAGCCTCGAAAGTGGCAGTTTCACAGATCGCAGCCCCCCAGTGATGGTGAGGTCTAATTTGAATCAACCGTGAATACCCACTGTGCTGGGCCCCCCAGCAGCCCTCGAAAGTGGCGACAGTTTCACAGATCGCAGCTCCCCAGGGATGGCGAGGTCCCATTTGAATCCGCCATGGGTACCCACTGTGCTGGGCCCCCCAGCAGCCCTCGAAAGTGGCGACAGTTTCACAGATCGCAGCCCCCCAGGGATGGCGAGGTCCCATTTGAATCCGCCGTGGGTACCCACTGTGCTGGGCCCCCCAGCAGCCCTCGAAAGTGGCGACAGTTTCACAGATCGCAGCCCCCCAGGGATGGCGAGGTCCCATTTGATCCGCCGTGGTACCCACTGTGCTGGGCCCCCCAGCAGCCTCGAAAGTGGCGACAGTTTCACAGATCGCAGCCCCCCAGGGATGGCGAGGTCCCATTTGAATCCGCCGTGAGTACCCACTGTGCTGGGCCCCCCAGCAGCCCTCGAAAGTGGCGACAGTTTCACAGATCGCAGCCCCCCAGGGATGGCGAGGTCCCATTTGAATCCGCCGTGGGTGCCCACTGTGCTGGGCCCCCCAGCAGGCCTCGAAAGTGGCGACAGTTTCACAGATCGCAGCCCCCCAGGGATGGCGAGGTCCCATTTGAATCCGCCGTGGGTGCCCACTGTGCTGGGCCCCCCAGAAGCCCTCGAAAGTGGCGACAGTTTCACAGATCGCAGCCCCCCAGGGATGGCGAGGTCTAATCTGAATCCCCGTAGGGCGTCACTCCGCTGGGCCCCCCAGCAGCCCTCGAAAGTGGCGACAGTTTCACAGATCGC